GAAGAGCGGGAATGATCCCGGCTGGATCGGGAGCTCCGGGAGATTCCCAAGTGCGGGATGGGGGCGCTGGGAGCTGCCGGGATCGGAGCGGATTTTCCCGATTTTCCCGATTTTCCCGGAGCTGAAGGGGGAGAATCCCAAGAGAGCGGGGGCAGAACCGGCCCCGACGGCCTCGGCTGGACACGGGATCCCATTCCCGGTTATTCCCGGTTTATTCCCGGCTTATTCCCGAGTTTCCTCCCTTCCACTTTTCCCTCTCCAGGTGAATTTTCCAGGTGGGATTTATGGGATGGACCCGCAGCGTCCTCAGGGATCACCCGAGAGCTCCAGAGCCTCGGGACCCACCGGGAATGACGCTCCAGGCTCCCCTTTCCCTTTCCCCGAGTTTCCCGAGGCCGGGAATGCCGCTCCAGGCTCTTCTCCCCCCTTTTCCCGGCCCGAATTCCCTCTGGAAAAGCGGGAATGCCGCTCCAGGCTCTTCTCCCCCCTTTTCCCGGCCCGAATTCCCTCTGGAAAAGCGGGAATGCCGCTCCAGGCTCTTCTCCCCCCTTTTCCCGGCCCGAATTCCCTCTGGAAAAGCGGGAATGCCGCTCCAGGCTCTTCTCCCCCCTTTTCCCGGCCCGAATTCCCTCTGGAAAAGCGGGAATGCCGCTCCAGGCTCTTCTCCCCCCTTTTCCCGGCCCGAATTCCCGCTGGAAAGGAGCACCGGGAGCAGCTGTCGCCTTTTCCCGGCCGCATCCAGCGCGCCCCTCCCGGGGGGCTCCGGGCAGCCAATGGAATCCCGAATTCCCGGTTTTCCATATTTATGAGGGAGAGGGAGGGGGAGCGGAGGGGCCAATGAGGCTCCCGGGGTCGGGCCCAGGGTGGATAAATTGGGAATTTTGGGGGGGGGGAGCAGCGAATTCCTCCTTGGAGGCTCCGAAGCGGCGCTGCCGGCCCGGGAATTCCCGGCTTTTTCCCGGATTTCCATCCCGGATCCTTCGCGGGACCTCGGGAGAATCCAGGGAAAGTTTTTTTTTTTTCCCTCCGCGGATGGATGAGGGGAGCGGATTCCAAATCCTGGGAATAGCGGGAGGAGAAGCCCCGGAGCCCGGGAGCCGAGCGGGGTTTGGGGTAAGGCGGCTTTTCCAGGGATCGGGAAGGGATCAAAACCCGGGATCCGGGCGGGGATCGAGCCCCAGATTCCCGGGAAAAGGCTCGATCCCACCGCCAGCTTTCCCAGATCCCTTTGGAATAAAGGCTTTTCCTGGGAGGGTTTGGAATTTCGCCGGGAATTGGGGTCCGGGACACGTCGGGAGTATCCAAGGAAAATTGTCGGGAATTTCGTCAAAGGGCGAGCGAGGAGGCCGCGGAGAATTCCCGGGGTTTTGCAGGGAAGAGTGGAGGCTGAATCCTTGGAGCGGCTGGATTTGGGAATGGGGCGGTTTTCCCAAAAAAAAACGGGAAAGAGGAGCTGGAGGAGCGGGAATTCCACGCCAAGGAAAAGCTCTGGGATGGATCCGGGAATGAAACTTGAGTTTTCCCAAAAAAAAACAAATCCCGCTTCCCCTCCCGGACTGGGATCCAGCCCCAATTCCCTCTCCAGGGGCCAAATTCCCAAATTCCCGGAAATCCCAGACTCACAGGGCAGCTCAAGGGGCCGAATTCCCAAATCCCCACATTCCCAAATTCCCAAATTCCTGTCTCAGCCTGGGAGAACTCCCGAGGGTGATCCCGAACACCCAAATTCCCGGGAATTTCTTTGGGAGAGTCACTGGGGAAAATCCACCCCCCTTCAAGGGATTTTGGGAGCTGTCGCTCGGCTCTTCCCAAATTTTTTGGAGGGGGGGGGACAAATTCCCATCATTCCAACCTTGTAAAAAAATCGGGATTGGGGCCGTTCCTGGCCTGTCCCGGTGGGATTCGGGATCCCATTCCCGGCTCATTCCCGATCCATTCCTGATCCATTCCCGATCCATTCCCAGCTCATTCCCGATCCATTCCCGAGCATTTCCCGATCCATTCCCGATCCATTCCCGATCCATTCCCGATCCATTCCCGGCCCTTTCCCGGCCGCTTTTCCCATTCCAGAGCTTTTCCCTGGAGGCGCCCAGACTGCCGGGGGAGGGCAGCGGGGGTGAGGGTGATGAAGATGAGGATGATGATGATGATGAGGATTATGAAGATGATGAGGATGATGAGGATGATGAGGATGATGATGAGGATGAGGATGATGAGGATGAAGATGAGGATGATGAGGATGATGAGGATGAAGATGAGGATGATGAGGATGATGACGATGATGAGGCTGATGAACTGCCGGGGGAGGGCAGCGGGGGTGAGGGTGATGAAGATGAGGATGATGATGATGATGAGGATTATGAAGATGATGAGGATGATGAGGATGATGAGGATGATGAGGATGATGATGATGAAGATGAGGATGAGGATGATGAGGATGATGATGAGGATGATGATGATGATGATGAGGATGATGACGATG